AGATTTATGGAAATATGATGATAAGACATTGGGCTTGGTTACACATTTTTTTTTTCAAACTAGATTCAGCCCACACAAGCTATAAAGAAAAACATTATTTTTCAAGGTAGTAGAGCTAATTATTTGCTTTTCATAATTGTTGTAAGTTCCTCATCAGCAACAACACTTCTGAGTTTGGAACCTGGAGTGGTGGCTCAGAGATGAAGAACATCTGTTGCTCTTGTAGAGGACCCAGACTCAGTTCCTGACACTCTCACGGTAGCTCACAACTTTCTGTAACTCCAGTTTCAGGGACTCCAACAGGCCTCTTCTGACCTCTGAGGGTATTAGGCATACACACAGTGCATATGCATATATCCAGGCAAAATGGTCATACATGTAAAATAAAATCTACAAAGTAATATTTGAAATATTCAGATTTATCCAGGTATAGTTACCCAAGGCCAAGACCACACTTTAAAGGTAACCTGCTGCTAGAAAGCATGTGTCCTGGTCACTGTTCAATTGCTGTGAAGGGATGGCATGACCAGGGCAACTCTTAAAGAGAAAGCATTTAACTGGGGCATTGCTCAGTGTTTCAGAGACTTAGTCTATTAGCATTTGGGCAGGGAACATGGCGATGTAGGTACAGTGCTGGAAATGTAGTTGGGAGTGACATTCTGATCCACAGGCAGAAGTGAGACTGAGTCTGGCTTGGGCTTTTGAAACCTCAAAGCCACCCCAGTGACACACTTCCTCCAACAAGGCTACACCTCCTATCTTTCTAATCCTATCAAACGGTTCCACTCCCTGGTGACTAAGAATTCAAATATATGAGCCTATGGGATCCATTTTTATTCAAACCACTATTGTACGTGGCAACACTGATCAATTATGTGTGAAAAAAATGTGGATGACCCATAAAAGTGTCCTTAAAGGGAAAAGACATGCATTCTCCCATCTTCTTCTTCCTGACTGGTGATCAGAATATGAACAACCGACAGCAGGTGGTTAGGTCATCATGAAATATGGGATGACTTTACAGTGGAGGAAACATGGCCAAGCACATGGTAGCCTGGGTCCCTACCATTGAGGGACTTTCATGCCATCCCTGAATCACTTTCTTCAGGACTTGCATGTGATAGAAAATCAGACATGTACCTTCCCTAAGTGAATGCCATCTGATGAGTCATGTGACTCATAATCCTACTGGATACTCCCTAGGGAGAATCTCGGGCACTGTCCCTCCCATTCCCCCAGAAATTCTACCACAGTCTTCGTCTTTACTCTGGTTAAGATTTGAAGGAGAAAATTCACCTGTTTTTGATGCATCAGAACTTTTAGAGTTTATTTTTAAAAAAAATAAGGTAATTTAAAAATGAAGAAAGTACAAAATGACAAGGTATAACCTTATCCAGGGCTCTTTTTCCTAAGGAAAAGGTGTGCCAGGGTGGATTACACTACATTCAACCTTGTGATTTTTAACAATGGAGTGCAGAAATAGCAGGCGGGCAATGTGAAGAACTGTTGAAAGCATGCATACAACTCCTTCCAGCATATCTGTTTTGACGTTTTTATTAACAATTTGAGTGAAGAATTAATTAAATTGTAATCAGATGTGGAGGTGACATGGTGTCAAGAGACTGTCTCCTGCTTTGGAAAATGAAATCATATGACTACAGAATTACAACAGTAGGACTTTAAGGCTTTTGTGGCTCATAGCTCATAGCTCCCCATTTTACAGATCAAAGAAACTGAGGCTTAGAGAGGACAAAACACCTGCCCAGAGAATCAAGAGTAAAGCCAAGAGTGGGGAATGTAGCTCAGTGGTAGAGTGTTTTCCTAGCTGTACAAACACCTGGGTTCAATTTCTAAAACCCTCAAAAAATAAAGTGTGAATTTAACCTTTCTATTTTTTCAAGAATATGAAAGCTAAATCATGACTTGGGATTCAAGCAGACATTTGAAAAAAAAGCCATAACTGTTGCCATGAACTGATGAGATGAGATGAAATTTAATCAGGTCAAATGTGCAAGGACCTACATGTTAGGTCTTTTTTTTTTTTTTGTCTTTAAGTCCACTGTGCAAGCACAGTAGGGGATAGATATGCCTTAATCATCAGCCCTTGTAAGGAACACTTAGAGATGTTACTTGGTGGCAAGCTGGAGATGTCAGCAGTATGATGCAGTTACAAGAAAAAGATGTGGGGTCTTAAGTAGCATTACTAGAAATAGAATTTATCAAAGGGGGTGAAGGTCCTGTTGACCTTTTTATTCTATATCTAGAATTCTCATCCAGTCCTGGGTACCCAATTTTAATAGCAATCTAGACAAATTTGTTCATATCCAGGAGAGTAGCCTGGGATGGAATTATGTGAATAATGCTCAAAGGAAGTTCAGAAGCTTCAGAGCTCTGTAATTAAAACCTTGAATCTTGGAGCCAGACTGTCTGGGTTTAATCCTAGCTCTGCCAATTACTGAGTATATGTTTATTTAACCTCTTTTTCACTCTCTGTAAATTAGGACTTATAATAATGCCTATAATAATACCTATCTCCAAAGATAAATGAAGTAAAGCCTTTTAAGTAGTTTGCACATTGTGGCACAAAACAAGCACTTGATACATGTTAGCTATTGCTAGAATTAAGATTCTAAAGTGCAGAGTAGACTCGACATGGTACTATCTGTTCCTATGGTACATAGGCACAAATCTGTGCCACTTTCAACCTTTATCAGAGAAGCTTCTTTTCTCAGTAGACAGTGATTACTCCAGAGACTCAACTGGTCAAAGTGTTAAGAATAAGTGACTATGAATGTTCAGCCCTAAGAAGGACATCTGTGTCCCATGCTTTCCAAGGCTTGGGGAACATTGTGGAAGAGGGGGATGTAAGAATGGTACAGCTGGAAGGTGGGGATGAGTGCTTTCTAAATATGTCACAGCATCAGTAGTTACCTGTGCAAGATCCACACCAGATCGAGCCAGTCAACATTCCAAAATAGAGGGAGAAAGAACCCACCAGGTCCCACTCCAGGCTGAGGATGATGATGGCTGCTGGGGGAGTCCTTTTTCTTCAGAAGTGTGACTACTGGTAAGACACCCATGCTCCAGCCCCACACTCAATCATCTATGAAACTCACTAATTGAACTCAGGTTATTTTTTAAGATGAAGAAGAAATGAAATTGAGAGGGAATATGTTAGAGGGTTCTGGGAGGAGCTGGGGTTGGGGAATCATATAAAATTCTCAGAATAAATCAAAATATTATTTAAAAATAATTCAAGGAAATGTGGGAAAATGGTAATACTATGGTAGGCTTTAACAGTTATTAAATGGTTTAACACATGCTAACAAATATTAGTAGTTAGTGCCTACAGAAGAGAATGGTCTAAGTTTTCTAGGGATGGGCATGGCTTGGGGGAAAATATATTTCCTAGTTTGAGCAAGAATACCCATACCTTGCCCTGAAGTCATCAGTAGCCCAACGGAAGCTGAGGTGGTGGAGGGGTCATCCATCCATTTTGTGAGTCTTCACTTTGGGAACATTGGTCGTAGTGATTAGGGGACACGGTTCCCACCTGAGATGTAGGGTTCTAACAAGGTACTAGTGTGATCTCTTAGGACAGTACTGGAGTTCGTCACGCAAACATGTTCTGGGATTAGTCCCTGGGAACTGTTCTGTCGACAGCCACTTGGCAATCACTGTGAAGAAACCAGCTACACGCTGGCCCTTAGGGCGTCTGGTACCCTGGACAGCTCCCTGGGGAGCAGTCCAACCGCTAGGGGGCGGCCGCCAGGAGATGAATAAGTCTTGCGGCTCTGGGGCTCTTTTTCCTTCCAGGCCCCAGGGGAGGTGGGGTAGTGCGAGGCGGAGTGGGACGGGATGAGGTGGTGTGTGTCAGTCGGGTGGAGGTTTCTGCTCCATGGGTGCGAGACAGAGCAAGCAGCCTGGGTATGAGTCAGCGCGCGGGTGCTAGGGGGCTTGGTAACTAGTCACGCAATCTCACTCACGCTCGGTTCCTCCACCCATCGGTTTTACTGTGTGCGCCCTGGTCCCAGGCGTGTGCGCACACTGCACGAAGTCAGATTTCAGGCTGTGTGTATTGGTTCAGGGAGATGGCTGGGGATGGGGTGTGTCCTTGTTGTGTTCCTAGGCTCGAGTTAGGGGTATTCGCCACCCTCTGTGGGGTTTTGGGGTGTGTCCGGATTAGGGTAAGCTTGCTCCTGTGCTAGTGCGTGCATGGTGCATGTGTGGGTGAGTGTAGTGGAACCGAGTATCAGGGTTGGGTGCTTGCATCAGCACCCAGGTCAATGTCTAGGGTGGGTGTTGGCATAATCTCGACTCAGGTGTCCAGAGGCCAGAGTGGTGGGGGTGTCCAGTCTCCCGCAGGAGTGCACGGTGTACCTGGCCACCCTCCCCTCACCGCTCCAAGCTGGCCAAGGCTCTTTCGGGAGCAGTCCGCATGGGGAGGGCCTGGGGTGGTGTTGTACCTGAGCGGAATAAGAGTGTGGGGGTGCAAGGGGCGGGCCAGGTCCCCGGGCGCGGCGCGGGCTCGGGGGACCCGCGCGGCTGACGTCAGACGACTCCTTAAATAGAGCCGGCAGCGCGCTCCACTCGGCATTTCCCGAGGAGCCTGAACGCGGCCGGCGCCAGCGCCACCGTCCGGTCCGCGCATCCTCCCGCCGGCACAGCCGCGCGGCCACCGAGCGTCCCCTGAAAGGCGCTCCGAGCATCCGGAATGGGGCTTCGGGCGCTGGGCGCGCTCCGAACCCGACGCGCGTGAGAGCCGAAGAGTGCCGGGAGCCGCCCCGCTGCCCGGAGCCCCCATCGCCTAGCACCGGGAGATGCTGGCAATGCAGCCACCCGGTCCCCGAGGAGCCACCGTCTCCGGGACCCCCGGGCGAGGTGCTCGCCCAGGCCAGCAACCCCCGGAGGAGACGGCGTCCCCTACGCCGGACCCGCACGGCGGGGACAGCGCCACACGAGCCCTCTAGGCGATCGTAGGGCCGCGCAACAGCTCCGCCGCAGGTGCCACCTCTGAAACCATGACCCCCGGCGCGGGCCCATGGAGCTATGGCCTATAGGGTCCTGGGCCGCGCTGGGCCACCTCAGCCGCGGAGGGCGCGCAGGCTGCTCTTCGCCTTCACGCTGTCCTTGTCCTGCACTTACCTGTGTTACAGCTTCCTGTGCTGCTGCGACGGCCTGGGCCAGAGCCGCCTGCTCGGCGCGCCGCGCTGCCTCCGCAGCCCCAGCGCAAGCGGCCAGAAACTTCTGGCGAAGTCCCGCCCGTGTGATCCCCCGGGGCCGACGCCCAGTGAGCCCAGCGCTCCCAGCGCGCCCGCGGCAGCCGCGCCAGCACCGCGCCTCTCCGGGTCCAATCACTCCGGCTCACCGAAGCTGGGTACTAAACGGCTGCCCCAAGCCCTCATTGTGGGCGTCAAGAAAGGGGGAACCCGGGCGGTGCTGGAGTTTATCCGTGTGCACCCGGACGTGCGGGCCTTGGGTACCGAGCCCCACTTCTTCGACAGGAACTACGGCCGAGGGCTAGACTGGTACAGGTAAGGGGGAAGACCACAGCTCCTCTCTGAATGTTAGGTCCGCTCTGAAGGTCCTCTTTTAAGCCAGCAAGGGGGTGTGGGTGATTACAGTAGGAGGAATCACCCAGAACTTCCAAGGGACCAGCTCTACACGAGGTTCTTTGAAGTGCAAAAGGAAGGGGCATTCCTTCCTGTCCCTGGGGTCCCTGGAAGAAAGGGGGCGTTTCCAGTCAAACACAGGTGCTGGCTGGAAGGCTGGCTTCCCTGTGCACTTTTTAGGGCGGCATGGGGCTGCTTGCTCAAGCCATTTGGTTGTCTGACCACAGCCTTACTCGGGCCCTAAGCTGGTCTTCCCTGATCGGTAGCACCTGACGCTGAGAAAAGGGAGCCAGGACAAAGGCTAACTGGAGTGGTTCCTGCCCAAATAGGTTTCCCATGTTTCAGACAAAATGAGAGTGTGCCCCCAGTTCTTGCATTGAGAAAGGGAACAAGCTCTGCCCCATTCAGAATGCCAATCTCAGCTGCAAATATTGGCTACCATTCTGAATTCACTCCCTTAGCCGCTCCAGTCTTGGGTTAGTGAGCTTGGAGGAAAGGAAGCGACCTCGGATTTTAGTCGTGGCTCTGACACTTAGATTAAGCAAGTTCCTCAAACTCTGGCAGCCTCTCTTTCCCCATCCATCACAAGGGGCAGGGAAATAGTTCTTGCCCTGTTCCCCTGCCAAGGCTTTTTCAAAGTGTTTGGAAGATGTAAAAATGACACTTAGTGTCGGGGGTGGGGGGTGTGCTTTTAAAATAGCAACCAACAGGAGGAATTTGGAAGACAGGTGGGCATTGAAAGCGAGGGCTAGACAGGATCCCAGGAATAGTCAGGCATGCCTAGAATGCTCACTCTTCCCTTGGACTTCTGCTGGCTCCAGTTCGCCCCAGTGGGTGGTGTCTGGACATGCAATGAAGCTTCACTGAGGTGGTGGTCTTCATTCTCCAGTCCCCCAATGTCCATTGGCCTTGCACACCCTGTGTGGTGCAGGATAGGTCCACAGAAGGACTGAGTCAGGGCACCTTTGGGGCTGGAATATAATGCATGGACCTCTGAGATGTCACAGTCTACCTGGAGACATTCTAGACAGCTCTGCATAGTAATGGAATTGTGGAGAGATGCCATGGTAGCTGACACAGTTGCTGAAGCTATTTCCTTTATTTTCACACAAAAGGAGACCCTTTAGTCAGTAGACTCATAAGCATACTGGACAAAGGATGATTTCACTAGAAAAATGACCCTAATGAAGTCATAACAAAGGGTTCTGGGTTTTCAAAGAAGGGGGACCCATAGGAGTGACTTGTCACCTTTTCCAGCTAGCCCTAGTCAGTGGTAACTATGGCTGTTAGGAGCAAGGGATGGGACATGTGCTGTCCCCAAGAGGCAGACACACTGTCGGTAGTGGAGCCAGTCAAGGGACAGTTGGCACACAGTCAGGTGTGGCTTCACGCCAGTGCTGATGGCCCATCATGTTGTCTGAACTGTGACCCACGGGTGTTTCATCTAGTTATGTGCAAACACTGTCTGAGCCAGACCCCAGGGAACAGGCTGCAGTCGCACTGAACACTAGTGCCCTGCCCGAGGTCAGGGCACTCACTGCATGCCAGGGTTTCCTCGATGGCAAATGTGAAGATCGTTAGGAAACCCTTTCCCACTGTGAAGTGCTTTTAAAGTGCAAAATAGCCAAATTCTGAGCTTTTAGGTAATGCACTCTCCCATAAACACCTCTGTGTTGAGCCCAGACTTTCCTTCTCTGCTCCTCTCTCCTCCACCAAACAGCATACCTCAGGCTTCCTTTCTGGAGCCTGTGTCATTCAGGGATGACTGCTTTTTATTTTTAACCTTGGCATGTGTGATTCTAAGCCAGCTTAGCTGTGAACCTTGGAGATGGGAGCCATGCCTTTTTTTTTCTTTTTTTCTCCTAGCACATTTGGATTCTGCTAAAATTCTCAGCTGAATCTTGGTAGGTTTTATTTAACATGAAGCACACTGACAGCTCCACTTCTTGCTCTCTCCCCTCCCCCATTCCCCTTTCCTTCTTGATATTTCTAAAGGAAAGCTTAGCCTAGAGGTCTGGTCATAACTATGATACCCATCAGTTTCCCAGGAAGGCTGGGAAGTCCACAGCACTCAGGAAAGGCTTGTGCATTTTGTGCTTTTTTTCTGGGGGGGGGGGCTGCAAACAACAGCCCCCAGAGTCAAGGATTTTATGTGGGAATTGCTGTTTTCACAAAATGTAATATATTCCCCATACTTGGGCACTCTTTCTGTTCTTTTCTGTTATCATCACTTGAGTTACATGCAGCAATTGCAGAAACTATGGGGATTCCTGGGATTCCTTACAGTGTGTGTTCAAGGGGCCTCTCACCCACTGTTGTGGCCTGGGTTTCCTGGGGTGGAGCTACATGCGTGCAGTGGAGTCCTTGGTACCCTGCTCATTTTGAAGCCCTGGAGCATTTAGGCCAGAAACTGTAAATGCAGACAGACAGTGGGAAAATAAGAATCATCACCATCAAGCCACAGGTGAGACTTCTCCCTGAAGGCAGAGTTGATAGAGCCAGAGAGACACCATCAGCAAAAGGGGCCAGCTAACAGAGCCCTCACCCTCTTTATTCCTGGATCCTAATCCCTTCTTGGGAACCACTAAGTCAGGCCACCCTCAGAGAGCCCAGCCCTCTGCAGGGGTATTGCTCTAAGACCCTTCTGTGCTCTCATTTCTGGCTCTTACCTTACCTGGGCAAATTTCCTCCCAGATGCAGTAGCATATGGATCTGTGGGGGAGCAGCCACTAGCTGCTCAGAAGAAAAGAAAAGTTATACTAGGTTGATCATGGTCCCAGGACAGAACCCACTGTGTTAAAGGTCAGAGATGACCTCTTTAGATGCTGTACGATTTGGAAAAGGGTGATTGCCCCGAGTCTCCACTGCCTTCTTGTGGAATGGAGCCCATGATAATTATCTCAGGTTTGAAGAATAAACCTTGAAACATTGCATATCAAAGTTCCATGGGAAAATCTTTGGTATATAAAGATAAGCAAGCCAGTGGTGTTATTGCTGTTGCCACAGTTACTGCTGTTTTGCTACCAATACTCCTGTGATTGCCATTAACAATACCAATACTCAAGTTATTGCCGAAACTGTCAGTGCTGTACCTGCCTCCATCACCAAATGGGACTGAGGAATGCATTGCTAAAGAATTAGTTTCAAGCTTCCCTTTCTCCCTTTGTGTGTGGTGTATGTGTGTGCCTGTGAGTGCAGGCACACATGTGAGTGTTCCATGTGTGTGTGGTGTATGTGTGTGTGTGTGCCTGTGAGTGCAGGCACACATGTGAGTGTTCCGTGTGTGTGGTGTATGTGTATGTGTGTGCCTGTGAGTGCAGGCACACATGTGAGTGTGTGTATGGAAGCTGAGTCATTTTCCTCCTTGGTGTTTGAAGCAGGGTCTCTCACTGAACCTGGGACTCACTGATTCCACTAGGGAGAATGACCAGCAAACTCCAGGGAACTGCCTCCTCAGCAAAGAGATTGTAGGCACCCGCTAGTGGGTTTTGGGTTTCATGTGAGTTCTGGGGACCTGAACTGAGGACCCCCATGCTTCTGTGCACTGCAAACATTTCACCAACTGAACCACTTCCTCAGCCCATACTTCCCTTTTTCTTACTTCCTCCCCCCACATCCTTCCTCCTTCCTTGCTTTTCCCTCTCTCCCCATCATCTTCTCTTCCTAACTTTGCATTGATAAGATTTCACCTCATATTTCTGCATATCTATTTACCACCTTTAAAGATGAGAATGATGCCTGACCTAGTCTTTCGTGATATAAAAACCATGTATGATACCTTATGTGGAAACGTTCAACTGACCTAAGATTTCAGGTAAGATACTATTGTTTTACCAAAGTTCACCTCCAATAAAGTCTATTCGGTAGGATCATCATTTATAAAGAAATATAAATGGTGTTGTGTCCAGGAGTCTTTAGGGTTCAAGAGGAAGGTGAGTTTTGTTTCAAGCGTCTCAATTTTGCTAGCACTGTGTGTTGGTAGGGTGTACATGTGGAGAGGAAGGGAGTCTTTTCTAAGTGCATTGAAATGCCAGCAGGAGCAAGTTAATACATGATAATTGAGTCTGCACTCGTGTCCAAATGTTGATAGATGAACTTGTTATAAATGTTAGACTCTATCTCACATCTCTGCTTCCTTTCTTGCTCTGCATCGGTGTGTTTGGGGACTGTGTAAGGCAAGCAGACACAGGTTTTGTCACAGAGGTGATGGTCTAAGTAAGACAGGATGGGAGGCACAGAACGAATCTACCACATTATCAAGCTTATCCAAATCAGTGACTCATATGTAACAGCAAAGCCAGACTCTGGCTTAGCAAGCATTAGGAGGAAGCCCATAGGCAGGAGATAGGGGCCTTCTGCGTGAAGAAGAGAACACAGAAGGCTTTGCAATCTTATAACAAACTGATCAACACACAAAACAGACCAGCCAATGCTCACTGTGAATACAAAGGATTTGTGACCTCCCCTGCCCCCACTTGTATGTGGTCTCATGTACAAGTGTCTTTTTTTATGAGTTTTCCTACCCGGGTCCAGGGGAGTGTGACATGTTCTGATTAAATGAAACCATTGAGTCTGGAAACCCCCATCTGTCAGCCTTGCAGCAGGCTGGAGATATATTAGTCAGTTCCAGCATGTGTACAGTTCTTCTCAGGCACCAAAGGACATTCAAAATGTGGAGCTGTCATTGCTCCAGGAGAGTTTGGGTGGGGAGAGTTGGTCTTACTTTTCTCTGGAGCTTCAAGAGACTGGGTGAGCTGGGAATGAAGAATGGAATGTCCCCAAACCCTTTGCTTGAGCTTATGAAGTGAAGGAGACTCTGGCAGGCCCTGAGATTCTCATTGAATACTGTTAAGACTGTTCATGATGTTAAAATAGAGAAAAGTATCATTTAATAGAGCAAGTAAGAAGCATATTTTTTTGTT